AAACATGGGTTCGAGAAATAGGTCACAGGTCAAAGTTCACTTGGGTCAGGGTCATGAATTTTTTAGAGTAGGTGTAAAATTGATCAGCTCGAGGGTACTGAAAGTTTCGTTGCGATCGGCCGCTTTTTACGCGAGTTATTCGCGAAAAACCAGGGGGGGTCCATCCGACCCCCCGCCCCCTACACATGCGAGGGTTAAATATAAACATCAAGAATGCTTAGATTTCCGCCACATCTCGCAGACTTCATGATCGGCAGTGGGCACACACATTTAATTAGGCACATGTTTAATTGAAAAACGAAGTTAATGATTTAGTAGTGAATGTGGCAAATAAAAATTGCAGATGGTTTCTGTTTCGTTCCGTCATTTTTTCTTCTTCTCTTTTCATCCTGACCTAGGTCGTTACATATTGATCGACTGTTTGATTTCGCGCCCGTCGCGTCTGGCCGACGGCTCCTATTCGCCCCGAGGGCAGTGAGGCAGCTCCGCCGGTGCAATTTTTGGCCGTCAGTCGGGGTGGTTAACGGTGGGGCGAGGCGGCTCGCCGTCTGAACCGTCCGCGTCTGCACGGACCAGGCGGACAGTGTCGGTCAGGACTCAGGATAGCAGGGAGGTGGCAGAGGATAATACGTGGACGTCATTCAGCCAGGGCTGGGCCCTGCTGTCGGTCTTTCACATCGAGAGTGCGTGACTTACGGGCATACCGAACCAGACGGCCGATTTAACGGAGGAACTAGGAAGCGCGTTTCTCGACCCAGAAAAACATCCGAAACTTGTTTTAGGAATCCGATGGATTTTCTGTATGTCTTTTTAACGTAGCAAGATGTCAGGGAGGAATAGATTTAAGAGCTTCTTTATCGCAAGACTCGCAGATGTTGCAAGTGCTAATCGGATGTGATCAATATTGGCAATGCCGTCTTTTCTGTAGGATTTCTGTAAGTGTTGTCAAATGTCCAAAACAGAGCTTAGACATGTCGGGTTCGTGGCTGGAGATAAATGCTGTCGTTGCTGTCATCTCAATGATTTGGCCTCTACATAGGTACTATTTGACTGTAACCCTCAGCGGTGAGCAGTCAGCGATCCACTCCATCACATATCCAAGCTGCTGTAGCTTTGTTCCGGCGGCGGTAAGCAGATATCATCGGACGTGACTGTTCCAGTTGCGGTTAAGGTGGCACCAACCCGACTTGATATTCAGGAGGTTCCTCTTTGTCAAAGTTCTTAGTAGTTCATATAGACCGATGGCCGCGTATAATTTGTTCCGGACTGGTCGGTCATCTGCATTCAGAGCGCGCTACAATCGGATATGACGAACATGTGAACCGTCTCCCGGGGCTCTCGAAGGCCCGATAGGCGGTCAGGTGCACCAGCTCGGCTGCCGAGACCGGAACTCCCGTTAGTGACGGCGCGGAGGGGCTGACCGCAGTCGCCGGCGGCGCGCTCGCAGCTTTGTTTCCCTGTCCCGGCGGCGGCCTCAGATGTCCGCGGGAAGTGTCGCACGCGAACCGGCGACTCGGGGCTGTTTCAGCAGTCACTCCCGTTCCGGCGGAGATGAGCTGATAGGCGGCCGGCAAGTCGGCCAGCCGACCGACTTCCTGTGCATACTTAATATTTCATGTAACAGCTACCATCTGCAGTAGAACCTAAGCCACTCGTCAGATGACCGAAATCAAAACAGGCCAGATATAAAGGAGCCTTCATGGCTTCGATTGGAAGATCATGATATCATACCCAAGCGAGTTTCTGAAAACCGAGCGGCAAAGGAGCGAGGAAATTGAGTGGCGGCCAGTGTGCCTACACACACGCGTGTGGCCAGCGGCCAGCTATCTGCGTAGTGACCCGTTTCATCAGCCGCCGGTGTGCAGGACAACGGACCCTGTCAGCCCGCACGGCATAGGGAGGGCAGTGAACGCCGACCCACCCCCGCCAGGCCTCGGTCAAGCTCGGATCAGTGTCACCACAGAGTGACCGAGCGCATCCCCAGTCGTCAGTCCTGGGCTGGAGACTTGAAGAGTTCAACTGTGGCCACCAAAACCTCCTCGAACTAAATCCGCCCCGACCTCGGCAATAATCACAAAGCTGGTCACGTCGACAGAGCTGCAGTTGAACGTCACGTTGCCTCGGACTGTCCACCACTCTGACACATCTCAGGGAAGGCGCAGTAAGCCCAAGAAACGGCATGTGTGAGGCGCGTGCGTTCTGTTCTCCTCGATACCTCGGGCATTCCGCCCTCTAGGCCACTCTGACACATCCCAAGGAGCGCGCAGTAAACCATGAAGTTGCGTGTGGGGCGGCGGTGCGTCTGCGAACTCTCGGATGACGGCGCCGCCGCCATCATGGCCGGCGTCATGACGAGCTCGTTACTGGCGGCCGGGTCACGTCAGCGCGGCCCTGCGGCCGGCGGTGGCCCGGCCACTACGCAGCCGACGCCGGCTGCTGCGCCGTTTTTGTGCCACACCTACCCCCGCCGCCCCCGCCCGGAAGAGATGACGGCAGTATCGGCGCCGCCGAGCCATCCCACAGGGTATTTGTGCTCGATGACTTCTTTGTAGAGCCGCAACGCCGATCTTCGACTGAGCCGATCCATTTGCTGAGTCACGGGTTTTTAGAGTGCGCTGCGTTATGTGAACTGACAACGAGAATTGTTGTGAAAGTGACTCCTCTGCAATAGGCGCTTCTCGAGGGAACAGGAGCCTCTCCTACCGACGTGGTGTTAGCCGTTTTCACGACGGGCTATCCGGCGAATGCACCTGATTTGACCAAATCTGCACCCAATTTCTTTTACAGCAAATATCTTCATTTTATTAATTTATTTCAGTGTTTTAATCGATGATGCTCTCTGATAATATGACAAAGCAGGCATATAAGCAATTAGTGCAACCCTAGCTGATAGCTGCTAAGAGACACATTGAACCTGATTTGACCAAATCTGCACCTAATCTGTACCAGATGTGCACCAAATGTGTACCAGATGGCCGTCGTGAAAACGGCTACCATTTTCATGAATCTTAGATTGGTATTCAGTGGTCGTATTGGATAAATATTTATCTGCCCCATAGGCTTCTTGGTTAGCTTAAAGGAAATAGTCAACTTTTAATATGAGGTTTTGAACTGGAATAGCAGTTTTGTAGCTTGAGCTAAGACTACCACAAATCAGAAACTTTTACGGCCCAACGACCACCCTAGGCAAAGATATTCCATTTCTCGTTCCGAAAAGTGTCTTACTCAGGAATGTGGTGTCTTACTGAGGAATGCAGCCACGTCTTCGTCAGCTAATAAGCATGCTGCTTACAGCCAATGCAGCATGCGTAGGTTTGAACTACGCTATATGATTGTCGTAATAAGCTTCCGCGTCAAATATTTTATATAGAATATAGTTCTTTCTATACCTATTAAAATATAGAAAATAATCCTTTTTATAAAAAGGTTTTATGCTATTTTTTGATCGCTTTTAGCATAAAAAATCATAAATTGCAAAAAAAACTAATTCCAGGTAAGTGAACCAGGTAGTTCCAGGTAATTCCAGGTAAGTTCCAGGTAAGTGTATTCCCTTTAACCACACCTCCAGTTGAGATTAAATTTAGTACCCCCCCCCCCCCCCATGGCTCAAGTAACGTACAGAACAGCTTTGTGTCCTTCAGTTCGGAACATTATCGGCCTTCTGTCAGACCGGTAAAAATGCACGCAAATTGCGACTGTCTCAAATAGGCAATCGGTAAGCTAAAGATACCGATTGCCGTGTCAAAACAAAGCTTGAAGCTAAAAAAGATCCAAGCTACAGATGTTCAAAGCCGGATATATGGGTAAGATGATACGACATCCGGTTATCACGAGCTGTGTGACCGTTTCCATAAAGGGTTCTGGCCTCTCCCGTTTCCGTAGGTTGTTCTCTCGAGGTACGAGCAGCCGTGAGTGAGTACGTTCCGCGCCCCTCCTGCACCGGCTTCCGTCACCAGCACCGTGTCCTCGCGGGGTATCGGGAAGCAGTAGCTACATGGGTAGGTATCTGCCGCGCTCCCACCGGCGACCGTCACTACGCCGGGCCAGTCGGGCACTGAAGCGCGCGCACAGAGACGTGACGCTGATTGAGGACCGTGTCACCAACAGGTTTCACATCCTTGTAACGACGACAATAAATTTCCCGATGCCCAGCCTGACCTGTCGTTGACCGGGGCGAAATTCAGATGCCAGTGACCGGCGGTGATCGACAAAAAAAAAAAAAAAACGGGAAGTGGTCGTTGTGCGAAACTGCCGCATTGATACTGATGGTTTATAATCCATATCTCCAACAGTTGGCTTAAAGGCAGGCTACTATCATAGCTATAACCATTAAATGACAATGTCTTCCCACAACAGTGAATTATGCTACACATTTCTGCAGTGTTGCACTCTTACTTTGTGTATGGACGTTTTCTGAACTGCATTCAAAGGAATACAAAAACAAATGGATGTCCTATGACCTTTCCGTCTCACGCTCAATCTTTTCGCATGTAGGCCGTGTGTCATGGCAAACTAACTACCTATTGCTCCGTACTGATAATCCCTGGAGTTTTAATTGAACAGGCTATCGAAAATTGTCTCATTAATGAACATATCGAGTAGGAGAAAACCACTTTTCATGCATTTTCATGATATTGGTGACTGCTCTTAGATATTATTTCAGAACTTACCGAGTAAGTTGCCTCTCACAAATCAAATGCATATCTAAACGTAATTAAGTGATAATTAATTAATGTCATGCCATGTGCAACGAAAAGGGCAAACGTTGCGAATGCTCTGGAAATGTCCTCTGGAAATGTCCGATCTCTGAGCCATTTGGTTCCCAGCCCTGCCCGCGGTCACTCGGCTGGGAACGCACACGTGCCGTGCCGCGCCCGCTGATGATGTCGTAAATCGGTTGTACGGAGCGCGCTGCGCTGTGTGACGTCACCCCTTTCCACGCCCGTTATTGGACGGCGATCCGCACCCGCCAGCGTACATATAGCGCATCCGCCGGCAGAGTGAGCAAGTCGCACACCGACTCCACTGGGCTCCGGTCCTCTGCAAACTAGGGAGACGCTTTGGCTCGTCACCCTAGTCAAAAACAACTAGCTAAATTTTGCACACTCAAGGTGCACAAAAATAAAGCTTAAAATGGAGTTCTCTCTGCTATATATTGTGGCACTGCTGAGCTGTTTTGGGGCCCTCCAGGCGTCCTCTGCGGACGAGCTGGCCACGGCCGCCTCACACACAGCTCCGCGGCACACGCTGCATCTCCACCTCTCCGTGGACGAGCTGCGCCACGTGTTCGCCGTCGAACGCCACGAGGACGTGCCAGAATACGACCTCTTCCACGTGAGCTCCAGACGAAAGCGCAGCCCCAACGGCCGGCACCGGCGCAGCGTTCACGTGCAAGCGTTCGGCGACCAGATCGACCTGAACCTGGAGATGAACAGCGAGATCGACAACCACATCCGGCTTTTCTACGCCGACGGCGCCGACAGCGACATCAACATCGAGCGCGTCGAGGGCGACACGGACATGTACGTGGGCGAGCCGTACCAGGACATAAGTCGCGAGGCGGCGCTGCTGGTCAACCACGCCGACGACGACACGCTGCAGCTGAACGGCGTGGTGTCCGATCTGGTGATCGCGCCGGCACCGAGGCGCGTGCACCACCACTACCCGTCGTCCCATGACGACGACGCGCTGCTGGCTGACGACCAGGAGCCGCTGGACAGCCACGACAGCACGGCCCGGCTGCGCCAGCGCCGCTCGACACCGCCGGTCACACGAGGACTGCACGTCATCTACAAGCGCGCCGCCACGCCGTCGTCGGCCACCGGCTCGGCTCCTATCGACCACGAAGATTCTTCGCTGCTGGTGGAGAAGGAGCCGGCAGCCAGTGAAGACTCTGTGACGGACGAGTCGCCCAGCCGCAACAAGCGCAGCACGCCGTCGCTTTACCCAGAGGTGCTACTGATTGTCGACTACCAGACCTACGAGGCGCACAACTTTGATGCCAAGGCCGTGAAACGTTACATGATGACCTTCATGAACGCTGTTGATCTGCGTTACAAGTCTGCCGAGCAACCGTCCATCACCATCAAGGTGGCCGGCATCGTCATCAGCAAATCCAAGGAAGCCACCCCGTATCTGGAGAAGCACATGGTCAATGGCAAAGCTCTTGAAGCCGTTGGTGCTCTTGATTCCATCGGAAAGTACTTGTTTAAGGAGAAGCGTCTTCCCACTTACGATGCTGCCGTTGTCATCACGAAGCGTGACATGTGCACGCGCAGAAACGGCAGAGGCACCTGCAACAAAGTGACGGCTGGCTACGCATATGTCGGCGGTGGTTGCAGCATCAGCAGCTACCATAAGAAGGTGAACTCGGTGGCTCTTGTGGAGGACTCGACTGGCTTCTCCGGCATCATCGTGGCTGCGCATGAGATCGGACATCTGCTGGGAGCCGTGCACGATGGCTCGCCGCCGGCAGCGTACCTGGGCGGGCCGGGAGCCCGCTCCTGTCCCTGGAAGGACGGCTACATCATGTCCGACATGCGGCGTGACCACAAGGGCCTCAAGTGGTCGGTGTGCAGTCTTAATCAGTTCGCCCACTTCGCCAACGACAAGCGTTCAAAGTGCATGCACAACCACGCCAAGAAACCAGCCAGCCTGCCGTCGGCCAAGAAGCTGCCCGGCAAGCTGATGACCGTTGACGCGCAGTGCAAACGGGACCGCGGCTCGAGCGCCTGTTTCAAGGACCACCGCGTGTGCGCCGAGCTGTACTGCTTCGAGCCGTCCAGCGGCTACTGCGTGTCGTACCGGCCGGCGGCAGAGGGCTCCGCCTGCGGCCGCGGCCTGCACTGTATCAACGGCCAGTGCGTGGCCGACAGCTTCTACTACTAGCTGCCGCTGCTGCTGCTGCTGCTTGTTACGTGCAGGCTGGCCCGCGGGCGGGTGCAGCCACCTCTCAGGTACCTGGCGCTGTTGTTATTTTGCACTGTTTAGATGGACGGGGCAGCTGGCTTGTACCACGTCGGCTAGGACGCTGCCAGTAGGCGGTGGCTGCCACTGCCGAGTGAAGGTCTCTGATCTCTGTGAAGCGCCCACTATTTCCGTCCTACGTCGGTGCTGCGTACTTATTTGTAGGTATGTGTGTGAATGCTTCTTAGTGTCATGTTGTTGATGTTCTATTCGAATTGTCTTAATAAAAAGTCAAATATAGTAACAAGTGTATTTATTTTTACCTTAAAGATAGTATGTGACCCTTTCCTACAAAATCTGAGTTAGGACCATTTTCTGATAAAACGCAACAAATTATAATGTAAATTAAATCCCTTCTACTTCAATCAGTAACTAATCGCCAATAACTCATCTTGAAGTCACCTAAGCGGGGAACGCTGAAAATGACCGTTGAACAAGTACTTACATCACTTTTTGCCTAAATGAAATTCTCTGAAGGGAGCGTATTCCTGACCTTTGATCTTCATCACGTCTAGTTACTTACCAGTCGTCTAAAGTGCTTACAAAAGATGTTCATTGTTAGGAAGTCTTTTATGCCTAAGTTTACGCAATTATTTTCCTTTTTAAGATTTTAAGAATGTCCTGCCATACGCGGCTATTTTAGTAGCAGCGATGAGCGACTCGATTTTGAATCGGTTCCGCCGACTGCACAATAATTGAAGATGGATACAGCACTTCCGCAGCATTACTGAAAACAAATGCAATAGTCAATACTATCATTAAACTTTTAATGACATGGTTCTGCAAACCTGAGCTGTTTTGGAAATAGAGATGCTTGCATTTTTTATTGAAGCTGTGGGTCTGGCATAATGAATTTCGTAGTCACAATAGAAAATTTCACCTCGTTTCTGGCGCATGCCATTGCTGTTATATAGGCTATATTGCTGTTATATATGAATACTCTTGTCGCTTGCTGTTCTTTATTTAATGATAAGTCCTTTAGCATTGCAAGGGGTGATCAAGCGTGCGTTCGACATCCGGAAAATGAGGGATAATTATCCGAGATCACCAGCAATAATTTGGTATTGCAGGGACTATCGATGCAATCAGGGTAACTTTTAAAGGGGGAAAGGGGAATTTCCCCCCTTCGAAAATTCCGCTCCCCCTTTCAAATTGTGCGTGAACGGCTAGGGAGGGAAGGGGGAATTTCCCCCTTTCAAATTTATTTTTGAGCCCATTTTCAATCAATTCACTACTCAGATTCTATAATCATCGTTTGATCAGACTCTAGTCATCAATCAACGTTGCTGGCGCTTAGATAATTTTCAATTTGAGGTTCCATCCAACCATTTTACGTTCAGTGCAGCGGGAACTCCAGATTTGACCCGATACCGATCGGATGGTCGGTGGGACCGTCTCTTGTCTTGTCTGTTCCGTCTCTTCGCAATCACTGACATATCGCTACAGGCGTCGGCGTAGAAACCGGCGGGGGACGGGGGTCATGACCTCTCCGAACCAAGGGTCTTCCTTCGAACCAGGGTCCTTCAATCGGTCTTGGCCTAGCAAGAATAGTCACGTGTTACCTCTCTCTTTTTAGAAAGGCGCTACTTGATGTTTCGCCAGGGTAATAGGTTGATACTACTGATTGACATTCGCAAGGGCGCAGTCAAGTTGGGACCTCCCCCGCCCCTTACCGCCAAGGTAGGTACCTACGTATACATATTTTTAGCTAATTAATTTTTTGGCCACCTAACAATATAAAGTGGCCAGAATCCGGGGAGTGAGTAGGATTTGGGGGTAGGTAAGGTTCTGCAGGCGCCATCCTAACCAAAACCTAATAGCATTGGGCCCCCCTTCAGATGCCTCTGGATCCGCCCTTGCCCCGAACTAAACCCCATCTCGACTTTTCCTGTAAAAGTAACCTTGGATGCAATAAGTCATATTTTTATATTGTTTTTGCTTCAGTAATGGCTCTTTTACTCGTTGGATGTTCGTTGTGCACGGTGTCAGCCTAAAACCCCGAATGATCCCATTGATTCCGGAAAATTATCCCTATTTTCCAGATGTCGAACCCGGGGCAAATCCATGGGCCGATAAACAAAAACAAGCGTCATTATTTGTAACAAAAGCGGCACACAATGCAACTTTTTTAAAAGAGAAGGACAAAGTACTTACTACTTTCCATAGGTGCTGCCAGTACTGCTTCTCTCTTGCTAAAAAAGGCGCTTTCACTTACAGAAATGTGTAAAAATCATATTTTAAGGAAGCTACAGTAAAAATAGCACAATGCTTCAATAATTTTTCTTAAAGAAATAAGGACTAGTTGTTGGGAAACCAGTGCACGATCACCCGACCCTTCACTATGGCCGTCCAACACTTTCTGGCCTCCCTGTTCGCGGCACTCGACGCTGACGCAGGGTCCAGGGATTCACTGGTGACCAGTACCGCTCGTTCTGCTTGTTTGGGCTTGCTCAAGATGAAACCACTTTTCGTCTGGCCAGATGAATTTTCTTTAAAGCTGCCTGATTTCTTCAGGAGCCAGAGCCACTATAACAGAAGGAGACCCGGTCAAATCGATGCTTGTCAGAGAGGGGAACCACCTGAGGTTTGTATGGGTACAACCATCCCCTAACTACATACTTCCTCAATTCTCTCCACGCCGTCGGGGTGGAGATGTTGTCCGATTGCCGATTGCGCTGATATCCATTCCATGCCAAGTATCAGCGCAATCGGCAAACTAACTAAAGAGTCATTAGACTTGTTACCGAACTGACACCTCTTCGTTTTGCAAATTGCACGTGGCACGTAGGTACATTAGGGGTCACCCATACGCATCGAGAATAGCACACTACGTGTAAGAAAGGAAGAAGCTATCCCACACAAAAGACCGCGAGTGAATCGGTCAAGCAGTTGTGGAGATATAAGCTTTGCAAAGGCGCCCCCACGGCGACCGACTGCTAATATTCAGCAATAATCAGTGTCGCATCCGCGCACTGGAGGTATCCTCGTCACCTGTTCGTATACTCTAATGTGGTTGGGTTCAAGTCACAGTCGAGCGCTGCTTTTTTACAACTTTTCTGAAAACGGCACCTCGTGCAGTGACGTTCTATACATCGTTGGAAAGAGCATTGAAATTTGTATATTATATTAACTTTTCACTTTTATATATCTGCATCGTAAAAAGTTATTAAGCAACAAAGACGCTCCCATTGACTTTCCATGTTAAAAATTGTCATTTTTAAGCAAGCTTTAAAAGAAAAACGATTTTGCACAGCTTAACGAAGCACAACAGTATATACTATGTTCTCTTCTCAGCAACATATGAAAGTTTGGACGAAATCGTGACACATAATTTTGTACAGTGCGCGAATGAAAATATCTCTGCAAAACTGTCCATTCACTTAACATGGGACACAGCAAAATTCCAACTTTGACCTCGTGCAAAGAAACGTTCCGAGGTTCTGACGGGTGTACGGCGCACACTGGCGTGTACCTGAACGTGTTTGCAATAAAATGCCTGGAAGAAAATCACCTCTTCCTTGGCTCGTTTTTCCGCCATTCGTGATGGCGTAAAAAGTGTCCAATAGACGAAAATTGAAAAGCACGTGCCACGCGCAAAAGATTTCCGAGGGAGTAGCGACCGGTGTCATCAGCGTGGTGTCCGACCTGGTGATCGCACCGGCACCGAGGCGCGTGCACCACCACTACCCGTCGTCCAACGACGACGACGCGCTGCTGGCTGGCAATCAGGAGCCGCTGGACGGGTCCGAGAGCCACGACAGCACGGCCCGGCTGCCAAAACCCCATTGACTTAACATGGCTGTCCAAAACCCCCTTAACCCTCGCCCCGTTGGGGGGGGGCATTTTGGCCCCCCTGTGGTTTTTCCTGAATAGCAAGAAAACGGCGGCGCGCAGCGCCGGCAAATTTTCAGTACCTTCCCGGGCATCAATTTGACACCTTCACACCAAATTTCAAGTCTTAGGTCACCTTAGGTCAGGATTTATTGAGGTCAAACTGAGGTCATGTTCGAGCAAAAATGAGCAAAAAACATGCAATCTTGAAACGCTCACCAAATCTACAGTTATCAAGCAATTTCAAAGTTCTTTATATGGTCTAGTAGACAAAAAGCGGCGCTACAAAACTGCTATCTCGGATTTTTGAAATTTTGGGTTTTTGACCCAAAAAAATTCAAAAAGTTGATTTTTTAGAAAAACTTTTAAAAAAATCCAAAATTCTTTTCCGAATTTCGAAAAACCGGGATATATGTGATAGTCCCTGCGCTCTTCTATATACATACCAAATTTCAGATCGATATATCGTTTTCTGGCCAAGTTATAGCGAAAAAACTGTTCAAAAATGATGACGTCAAATTTTTGAACTCAATTTTTAGCGATTCTAGACCACGTCCGGCAAAACAAAGACCACCATTGAACTCCCTGTGACGAGCTGCATCGATTCGATACCCATTTTATGCAAAAATATCAACTTTGAAATTTGACCTAATTTGACCTGACCTTGACCTGACCTTGACCTGAACTTGACCAAAACGTGACCTAAGCTGGCCCCAAAGGCTGCCTGACCCACATAATCGCATTTGTCATGAAAATGGACCATAAAAAATGTATCACACGTCACTTTCATATTGTGACCCCCCAGTGACCTGACCTCTGTGACCTGACCTGGTATCAGTGACCTCAAATAGCAAAATATGTGTTTGAAGAACATTTCCCCATCGATGATTTTAATGAAATGCATTTTACTCGATTTTACAACGCATTTCTTGAAATGCCTGTAAACGGTGAAAATTGGACCTTTGACCTGACCTGTGACGTCATCGGTTTGACCTAGGTCAATAAAATTGGGTCACAAGGTAGTTCCCTGATAGGGCTATCCAACACCGTTTGCCGCTTGTCGCTAGGTTGCGTGGTTCTCGAGATCTTAGGGGGGGAGGCCAAAATGCCCCCCCCCCCCAACAGGGCGCGTTGCTTGGCAGAGCCCAACGGGGCGCGGGTTAAACAAAAACAAAATATTTAGCGAAAATCTTCAGTTAAGTTGTGGGGGCGGCGTCGCGTCGCCCCCACGCCTTCAAGTTGTGGGGGCGTCGCCCCCACAGCCTTCAAGTTGTGGGGGCAGCGTGCCCCCATTGCCCCCACGGTTTCCGCGTCCATGCAGGGAGGTCAAAAAAAGGTCAAATCAGTCCAAATCAGTCCAATTTACAATGACGAGAAGTCGGTCATAAAAATGAAATCTAAGTTTCCAAAATGAGTCTGGATGATATGATGTATAGGTATGATAGAGCTGGCATGTGGATAGTCACCTGAGTGGATGATGGCCTATGACGTCACAACAGAGGTCAGCCTCGACCAATCAGAATACGCTTCCGTGAATCGTAAGGAAATGCATGTTAAATTGTGAATATTCAAGTCTTTATGAAGACATGTCATAGGTGTATTTAAGATATAGTCATATGTATATAAGATATAAGATGTAGCTCGCTACAGTATTTTGCCAAATAAATCCCCGTTATAAATTGGCTTGCTGTAACCCAGATTATTTTTTGTAAAAAGTGACTTGAAAAATCTAAAAAAAGTGACTGAAATAATCAGCATGGATTCCATGGAAATAAAATACTATAGATGATCCCTATAAAGGAAGATGCACCATGTGTTATTCCAAAGTCCCTGAAAGGCATATCTTACGATCGATAAATATTTGGAATTTAAGTTAACGCAAATTCCAGCTCGCGGTACGATTGTAAATCCCATCAAGTTGCCACATCGCTCATCGTGACCGGTTTGGAGGAGTAGCCGGCCCACCTGTCGGGAGACGCACACGTGTTGCGCCGTGCGCGCTGCATGATGACGCTGTAAATCTGCGCGCCGGAGCGAGTTGAATGACGTCACACCATTCGGAGCTCGCCATTGGACGACGGGTCTCGCTCGCCAACATACATATAGTGGATCGAACTGTGGCAAGATTGGCAAGTCGCACACCGACTCCACAGGGCCCAGGTCCTTCTCCGACTGGGAACGAGTGTGTCGCAGATTTTCACCGAAATGGCGCACACTCTGTCCTCAACCCTGGCGCTGCTGAGTTGTTTTGCGGCCCTCCAGGCGTCCTCTGCGGACGAGCTGGCCACGGCCGCCTCACACACAGCTCCGCGGCACACGCTGCATCTCCACCTCTCCGTGGACGAGCTGCGCCACGTGTTCGCCGTCGAGCGCCACGAGGACGTGCCAGAGTACGACCTCTTTCACGTGAGCTCCAGACGAAAGCGCAGTCTCAACGGCCGGCACCGGCGCAGCGTTTACGTGCAAGCGTTCGGCGACCAGATTGACCTGGACCTGGAGATGAACCGCGAGATCGACAACCACATCCGGCTCTTCTACGCCGACGGCGCCGACAGCGACATCAACATCGAGCGCGTCGAGGGCGACACGGACATGTACGTGGGCGAGCCGTACCAGGACATAAGTCGCGAGGCGGCGCTGCTGGTCAGCCACGCCGACGACGACACGCTGCAGCTGAACGGCGTGGTGTCCGACCTGGTGATCGCGCCGGCACCGAGGCGCGTGCACCACCACTACCCGTCTTCCCATGACGACGACGCGCTGCTGGCTGACGACCAGGAGCCGCTGGACGGGTCCGAGAGCCACGACAGCACGGCCCGGCTGCGCCAGCGCCGCTCGACACCGCCGGTCACACGAGGACTGCACGTCATCTACAAGCGCGCCGCCTCGCCGTCGTCATCCACCGGCTCGGCTCCCATCGACCACGAAGATTCTTCGCTGCTGGTGGAGAAGGAGCCGGCAGCCAGTGAAGACTCTTTGACGGACGAGTCGCCCAGCCGCAACAAGCGCAGCACGCCGTCGCTTTACCCAGAGGTGCTACTGATTGTCGACTACCAGACCTACGAGGCGCACAACTTTGATGCCAAGGCCGTGAAACGCTACATGATGACCTTCATGAACGCTGTTGACCTGCGCTACAAGTCTGCCGAGCAGCCGTCCATCACCATCAAGGTGGCTGGCATCGTTATCAGCAAATCCAAGGAAGCCACCCCGTATCTGGAGAAGCACATGGTCAATGGCAAAGCTCTTGAAGCCGTTGGTGCTCTTGATTCCATCGGGAAGTACTTGTTTAAGGAGAAGCGTCTTCCCACTTACGATGCTGCCGTTGTCATCACGAAGCGTGACATGTGCACGCGCAGAAACGGCAGAGGCACCTGCAACAAAGTGACGGCTGGCTACGCATATGTCGGCGGCGGCTGCAGCGTCAACAGCTACCACAAAAAGGTGAACTCGGTAGCTCTGGTGGAGGACTCGACTGGTTTCTCCGGCATCATCGTGGCCGCGCACGAGATCGGGCATCTGCTGGGAGCCGTGCACGATGGCTCGCCGCCGGCAGCGTACCTGGGCGGGCCGGGAGCCCGCTCCTGTCCCTGGAAGGACGGCTACATCATGTCCGACATGCGGCGCGACCACAAAGGTCTCAAGTGGTCCGTGTGCAGTCTCAATCAGTTCGCCCACTTTGCCAACGACAAGCGTTCAAAGTGCATGCACAACCACGTCAAGAAACCGGCCAGCCTGCCGTCGGCCAAGAAGCTGCCCGGCAAGCTGATGACCGTGGACGCGCAGTGCAAGCGGGACCGCGGCTCGAGCGCCTGCTTCAAGGACCACCGCGTGTGCGCCGAGCTGTACTGCTTCGAGCCGTCCAGCGGCTACTGCGTGTCGTACCGGCCGGCGGCAGAGGGCTCCGCCTGCGGCCGCGGTCTGCACTGTATCAACGGCCAGTGCGTGGCCGACAGCTTCTACTACTAGCTGTCGCTGCCGCTGCTGCTGCGGTTGTTACGTGCAGGCTGGCCCGCGGGCGGGTGCAGCCAACTCTCAGGTACCTGATGCGTCTTATTTTTTTATTACCAGTTAATGGTAATGGCGTGTGTTACATGCTTGGCTCTACAGCCTTAAGGTGGCTGTTTCAAGCCTACCACTTATACCTATTGTGATCGGATGTTAGAGTTCTATGTACAGTTGATAAGCATGTGCGTACGCAGTCACCACGGTTGAACGGCTTTTCGAAAGAGCCTTTTAGGTGTTCTGACTTATGAGTTCTGACCACTTGATCTGGGATATTCTTTATCCAATGCTGCAATTTTCTAGGTTCCTTGTGGTTTCATATAGGCCTACTCTAAGGCACTTCATGATCGGTTATGTGCTTCGGCAATCAGCATGTCTTAGGTATTGTTGTATGTATGGGAAAAGAGGTACTATTTAAACCTGTTACGTTGATTTCAATTATTTCATATCATTCAGTTGTAAATACACGTGCATTCGAAATAATATGAGTAGCGCACCTCAACCCGCGCTCTCTCCTGCCGTCAATGGATGATGTCATCGACGCTGTGAGCAGAGAGTGCATTGACGTCCTGGGAGTCTCAGAATCGTGGCTCAAACCTAGTGTAACCGATGAATTCGTCCTGATACCGGGATTCTCGGTGATCAGGAATGACCGCAGATCCGGCAGAGGGGGCGGGGTGTGCGTGTTCTACCGTGACGGCCTGCGCCCGGAGAGACTCAGAGTACCGAAGGCCGGCTCACAGCTGGAGACGCTGTGGCTGAGCTTCGGACGGAGTCGCGGTATCACGGTGGGCGTGGCGTACCGGCCTCCCAGAGGAGCAGTGCTGCCCTACATTGAGGACCTGAGGACACAGCTGGTGCACGTGATGGGACTGGGCCGCCCCGTGTGCCTTCTGGGGGACATGAACTTTGATTTGTTGTCACCTGCCAAACCCGGTGTGGCAAGCTACGCGCAGCTACTTAGCGACCTACACATGTCCCAGCTGATCAGGCAACAGACTCATCAAGATGGCTCGCTTTTAGATCATATTGTCATCCCAGAATCTGACGTGAAAGCCACGGCTCGTGTCATACCATTTCATTCAAGTGATCATGATTTAGTGCTCGCGAACCTAAAGATCCCTGTTGTGCGAGATAGGCAGACGGAAGTAGTCGTTAGGTCTTCCCGACGTCTGGATCGCGACGCACTGTGCTACGACCTTCTCACCGCTGATTGGTCTTCCGTGTACGCTCTCCCAGGAGTTGGGGACAAGTGGCGGGGCTTCCTAGATGTTTGGAGTCCCATCATTGATACGCATATGCCTCTAGTCACGGTGAAGCTTCGCCACCCTCCCTGTCCCTGGCTGGACGACAACCCCGAGCTCAGGGAGATGATGAGGGAGAGGGACGCGGCGCGTGCGGAGAGGGATCGTGATCGGTGCGGGGAGACCGAGCGCCGGTACCGGCAGTATCGGAATGACGTTAAAGGGGCCCAGGCCAGGGCGCGGTCTGCTTTCTTTGAGGCTTCTATGAAAAATTCTCGCAAGCAGACTTGGAAGGACATTAGGAAGTTTCTCGTTGCCTCGGGGAAGAGGGGCGGAGCTGGCAGTAGTGGTGCGCCGGTCACGGACCGCACACGGGAATGGGCAGAGAAGCTCAATCGGCACTTTTCGTCGGTTGGCCCCAGTATCGCTGCGTCCCTGAGTACAGTGGCGGCTGCCGGGCCACAGCTGTCACCCCGGCCGCCCCGTGTCTGCAGCGGCGCATTCAGGGTGAGACCGGCCACTCTGCCGGAGCTCTCCAGTGCGCTAGAGCGGATGAACTGCTCCAGGGCAAGCGGACCGGACGGCATCACGGTCAGCATGCTCAAGCTGACGTTTCCGGTCGTCGGCCCTCACCTGCTGCACGTAATTAACCGCTCTATCGTGAACGGTGTGGTGCCGGCGGAGTGGAAGGTGGCCACAGTGACGCCGCTGTTTAAATCGGGTGACATTTTAGACGAGAACAACTACCGGCCTGTGTCAATTTTACCTACCGTGTCGAAGCTAGCCGAACGTGTCATATGTGATCAGCTGATGTGGTATCTTACGAGCTGTGACATTATCTGCCCCGAGCAGCATGGTTTCCGGCCGGCCCACTCCACGGAGTCGGCCATGCTTGACGCTGTCAGTTACATTTCTTCTCAAGTTGACAGGGGGCAGGTAGTCTCTCTTATAGCTGCTGACACCTCTAAAGCTTTTGACAGCGTTGAGCATGGCCGGCTCGTGGAGAAGCTGGGCTGGTATGGTATTGACCCCTGGTGGTTTGCCGACTGGCTCAGTGACCGCAAACAGACGGTCAGGGGCGGCTCGGAGTCCCTCCCGGTTTCCCACGGTGTGGTACAGGGTAGTATTCTTGGACCGATACTTTTTACAGTTTTTACCAACGACCTTCCGTCTCACGTACCGTGCGGCAGACTGATTATGTACGCGGACGACACACAATTCATTAATACCTGTGGACAGACCAGTATCGGAGAACACGCAGCCGACCTAGAGGTCATGCTCGGGGTGGTCCAGGCATGGTACAATCAAAACAGCCTGAGGATAAACCCGTCAAAAACAGAACTGATCATGTTCGGAAAAAATCACGGAGCCGATTTTTCTATCCAGTTTGCCGGTGCAGTAGTTCAGCCATGTGAGAAGGTGAAGGTGCTGGGAGTGGTGCTCGACTCGCGCCTACAGTGGGTGGACCACGTGTCCTTAGTGGTGCGCCGGTGCTACAGCACCTTATCAGGTCTCTCAAAATTCTCCCATCGGCTGCCGAGTTCGGTCAAAAAACTAGTCGTCGAGTCCCTGGTGTTCCCACACATTTTGTACTGCGCTACTGTTTGGGGCGGGTGTAATAAAACCCAAAGACATAGGGTTCAGAAAATTCTAAACCATGCCGCGCAGATCGTGTCGGGATGTTCACGTCGGATGCACGTTACGCCACTTCTAGCCCAACTGGACTGGCAGAGCGTGGACTCCCTCATACGCGAGAGAGATATCATTACCGTCCACAAGCTGACACACTCGCATCTGGCTCCTGTCAGACTGAAACAGCTGCTAACACGGCGCAGTGAGGTGTCAAGCCGCTGTACCCGGGCTACGGAGGCGGGTCACCTGGAGCTGCCCCAGGTGCGCTCTGAGCGGGCCCGGCGGCACTTTTGTTTCCGGGCCGCTATGAGCTGGAACGATGCCTCTGATGCTGTCAGGGAGCCAGTAACTGTCGCCACGTGTCGTGCGAGACTGCGATCAAAGTGAGCTTCTGCACTGTGATGACTGCATTTTAACTCTGTATCAACTTTGTGTATTAATCTGTAGAACGCGTCGCGAGGTACAGTGTTTTATAGTTAGGCTGTGATTCTTGAGCGGTGACAATAATATGTAGGTATGTAGAAACCATGTGATCATAATTTGTATGTAGGTACCAATACCATACATGATGCTTCAATGTATATTGACGCAAGCTTTAAAACCCACCATGTGGAGGCTTAAGATCGTAAATAAATAAATAAATAAATAAGATATAGGAATGACAATTGATGTCCAATAAGTCAGCGTCGTGTTCGTACTTGTTTACCTACAGCGTCGATATCGAAGCTGCACGATACTATGTAAACTGATAGATCCAGACAGGCTGGTTCCGAAAACACCCTTCGTTTTACCCTTGGTCAAATACTTTGGGCTCTACGGGTCAAGAACCCCCTGTGGTTACAAGAACTAATAGAGTATACCAGGCTATTTACCAACTGACCGGGGTCAAGATGGCACCACAACACGTGACGTGACACAAGGAACGCGTTACATCCGAGAAATTGCCGATCGAGGGCAACGGTCAAGGTCAACTTTTGCGAAAAGTCGTTCTTTTTGGGCGGGGTACAGCATAAAAGCTTTATTTACGAACCAGTTAAATCAACTCATATGACATGAGTGCTGTCGCAATAACAATTCCATCTGCAGTCCATGCATCGGACGTTGCGAGGAGCGCTTGAAATCCCGATTCTATATTTAAGAAAGTACAATAAATCATTTCAGGCGCAAAAATAGCACTTCCTATATTTCCCTTAACCCTCGCCGGCACAGGTCATTTTGCGTCTTTGACGGCACAAGGGGGGGGGGTACGACCCCCCTCGCGTTTGGCCCCTGATCGAGCTAGAGCTTCGCGGAAAAAACGAGCGTGTTGCCCGTCACGAGAGGAAGCCGATGATATCCAATTTTAAGGTCCTAAGTCATCGGGTGACCTTCCAGGTCAGGCCAATGACCCAAAAAGCGGGAAAATCGGGACCTGTTAGAAAGTCGTAAAGTGTGGCTGCTATGGGGTTTTCCGGGGTGCTGATCACGGATATCGTGTTAGTTTTGATCAGAGATGATGTCTTTAAGCATTTAGACCAGGTCGGGTCAGGTCAGGTCAGGTCAACCGGTAGGGGTCGTGAGGGTAATCGTAATACGTGTCAACCGCCTCTGACAGCTTCGTAACATGTTACGAAGGCACCAAAACTACTTCGTAAATGTTCAAATGGTTGCTAAATTCGAAATCAGCTCCAAAAACTAGCCTAGAAACATGTAAAACTCGAAAAAGTGAACCGAGATCACAAAAGGTCAATGACCTGACCTGACCTTCAAGTGACCTTGACATCCACCCAAATGCATGGGAGCAGCATCAAATCACATGTTTGAACGTTTGAAACCACGAAAAGCTTGCAAACGCGCGGCTAATGCGAGCCGACACACGCCGAATCGCGATTCCGGCCAAACATGGTCTCAGAAAGTAGGTCACAGGTCAAAGGTCATTTTGGTCAGGGTCATGAAATTTTTAGGGTAGGTGTAAAATTGATCAATGTGAGGATACTGAAAGTTTCGTCTTGATCGGCCGCTTTTTACGCGAGTTATTTGCGAAAAACCTTAGGGGGGTTGCATCAACCTGTGCCGGCGAGGGTTAATGGCTAATCATGGAGAGGTCACGTGACTAAGCGGATCTAAGGTGACCTTCATGATAAATCAAAAATTCCTATACCTATCTTATAGGTAAGCTGTGTGCACTGGGGAGGACACTACTTGCTGTAAGCTAGTTTCATTAATCAATAATGATCTCCCTGCGAAAGATCTCCCCAGCACAAAGCGCGTTGTAAAGTTGCGACTTTTCAGAACCATACAGCTGTTTACGCATGACGTGTTATCACGGAACATATAGTCTACGACAGACTAAATATTTCGCAGACTGTTGTAGACTATATATGCCGTGGTCTTACCCCGCGCACCGACGCGACGGGGGGGGGGGGGAGGGGCGTTAACCGCCCCCCCCCCCCCCCCTGAGGTTTTTGCGCCGTGAAATTTGGCATGACTCTTCCTTTACCAATGTTACACATAGTGTGCAAGTAACCTTTCAAAAGTTACCTTTCTCTTACCTGTCAGGTCACCAGGTCACTTCGAATGACCCAACCTCAAATCACTTTTTTGCAGCTGCTTCACCGTGTCAGCTACAGTAGATGACGGAGGCCTTTGAAAATTGTAGGATGTAACGAGGTCATTTAGTAGCTACCATTGTTTTTTCTCGGAATTTTGATATCGATGACCTAAGGTCAGGTCAATTTTTTTACCTCCCCGTCAATGGGGGAAAATCAACTCCCTGTTTTTTTTCTCACTAAAACGCGTCAGAACGGCCCAATATACCATAAATAACTTCAGATACGATCATCAACTTTGACTACCCTGAGGCCTGTTTTGCTCTTGGGCAGCTGTAAGGTCATGTGACGTCATCAAGGGTCACCAAAGGTTTTTTGCTAACACCTCCTTACAGGAATAAGATACAGCCGCGCCGCGCGATGGTCTCATTGTGTTCAGTTCGTCAAGGCGCATGGAATGATATACATGATGACCTTAAGGACCCGTGACCTGAGGTCAGCCTTTGACCTTGACCTTTCGAGGTCAGCACATATATAATTCGATGCGGATTGACGTGAGGATCACGATGGTGCCATTATTTTGCTCCTAGCTTGGTTACTTCGAAAGTTATTCGAGAAAAACTATCTTCATTTCTAGCGCCGCCATTTGAACTTTGTTAACCCCTGTGACGTCATCTTTGACCTGACCTGAAAATGACCTTAGTAAAAATTGTAGACCTTCCGTGCGTACCCCATACCGTTTACCGCTTCTCGCTATCTTGCTTCGTTTTCGAGATCTAGGGGGGGGGGGGGGTGTTCAACCGCTCCCCCGTCGGTTCTAAGTTGGCGCAGATTCCTGTCGGTGCGCGAGTTACGTTAGTGGCCTGACTTGACCTAAGTTCCAGTTAAGCGTCACAATTTCTGGCTTGATTTACTTAAAGGTCAGATATGCCCAGTTTCAACTCTCTATCGCCAACGCTTCCGAGCGATTGCAGACAAAAGTCAGAGAGTGGCATCAGTCCCCTTTTTGTACGAAATTGGAACACTAACTAGGTCGGTTGCTTTTGTTTTGTGTTTAAATTGCGTTGCTCCTGGCCATTCGATTCTATTAATTTACGTATGTTTGTTTGCCTACATGTATTGCTCATTTTTTTTTTTTAACCAAACGAACACTGACGATCCAGCTTCAGATATTCATGTCGGCCAATCTACTAGTAGAAGCATATTGCTATCCGCGCAGCTGCTGCTGGTAGATAGACATTTGCCGTTCCCCTAATATTTTACCACTGGCATTAAAGTAAAGTTGACCCACATGAAACCCAGACTCATTTTAGCCATTTTCAGCCCACATTGAGCTAAAATAAGCAATATGAGGGCTTTAATCGCGGTTTGGTTCTCGCCTTCGGGTGACCGGTAAAATGAAGTGTTTTGGCAAATTCTATCAAAATTTGGACCGCATTTAAGCTGAAAAGAGATTAACTTGGTCTAGGGTGATCGTCGGATAACTTTTATTTCGTGCCTATACCAGCACATTCAGAAAAAGGCGAATGTCGGTCTACCAGCAGCAGATTCGCGAATATCAATGTACTACTAGGTTGGCCCATGTTAAAAGATATTGCTCCACGATTATGACTTTGCAAAGATTCTGCTCTTGAAAATAAGAAACTTAATGGAAGAGGACTCTTTTTGAATGAACTGACAATGGTAAGTGCACTGTTATTGAAAGTATTGTTTCAAATAATAAATGTCTACTCACATGTTTGGGTATACCTACGAGTAAAATGCACAGCAGACTTAAGGCCGCCCCACTTTGCGGGTTTTGAGTTTGCGGGCATAATACTAATTCATAGAGTGATTAGACCGTTCCCTTATGGTAATTTCATGAATGCAGTGAAGCCGGTACACCTTCAGAAAATTACATATAGTCGCAATGCCAGCGCAACGAAATAAAATTCGACTCCAACGAAAAACCCGCAAACCTCGCAGAATTCGCAGACCTCGCAGCGAGGAAAATCGAAAGTTGACTCAAAATCAACTTTTGGAATGCGATGCAAGGTCGCTCGCAAGCTACATAAAAACATGCAGACTCGCTTGTTAGATGGTAGTGTAGGTCACTCAGCTTAAATTGTATTATTTGATCTTGGAGAAACCCGAAAACCCGAAAACTCGCAACCCGCATGCGAATTCCAGTGTGGGGCGGCCTTTATAGACGATCATACGCAGCTGTGTTGCCAAGAGAAATCGTCTTTTGAACACCCACCGCCTTAGGGGAATACTTGGCGTAGCGTGTCGGTTCTCGAATGGGCCGATGTGGGTCCCGACTGCGCTCCTGGTGTGCGACCGTGAGCGGTGACGTCAGGCCGGCGCAGCGGCCGCCATTGGGCAGTCCCGCTCTCACGGGTAGCCGCAGTTCCTACATATAGCGGGCCGGCCGAGCACGCCGGTAAATCGTCCTCCGACACCACGGGGCTCGGGTCCCAGCTGACAGGCGAGACGAGCCGGCCGTCTCCGCCGCCAGAGTGCCTCGCAGATTTTCCGTGCAAAATGGCGTGCATTCTATTGCAAGTTTTAGTGTGCTTATGGGTGAGTGCAGCCCTCCAGGCGTCCTCTGCGGACGAGCTGGCCACGGCCGCCTCACACACAGCTCCGCGGCACACGCTGCATCTCCACCTCTCCGTGGACGAGCTGCGCCACGTGTTCGCCGTCGAGCGCCACGAGGACGTGCCAGAGTACGACCTCTTCCACGTGAGCTCCAGACGAAAGCGCAGCCTCAACGGCCGGCACCGGCGCAGCGTTCACGTGCAAGCGTTCGGTGACCAGGTCGACCTGGACCTGGAGATGAACCGCGAGATCGACAACCACATCCGGCTCTTCTACGCCGACGGCGCCGATAGCGACATCAACATCGAGCGCGTCGAGGGCGACACGGACATGTACGTGGGCGAGCCGTACCAGGACGTGAGTCGCGAGGCGGCGCTGCTGGTCAACCACGCCGACGACGACACGCTGCAGCTGAACGGCGTGGTGTCCGACCTGGTGATCGCGCCGGCACCGAGGCGCGTGCACCACCACTACCCGTCGTCCCATGACGACGACGCGCTGCTGGCTGACGACCAGGAGCCGCTGGACGGGTCCGAGAGCCACGACAGCACGGCCCGGCTGCGCCAGCGCCGCTCGACACCGCCGGTCACACGAGGACTGCACGTCATCTACAAGCGCGCCGCCTCGCCGTCGTCGTCCACCGGCTCAGCTCCCATCGACCACGAAGACTCGCTGCTGGTGGAGAAAGAGCCGGCCGCCAGCGATTCTGATCCTATTACTAAGTCTTCTAGTCGCCAAAAACGCGACACCTCTGATCTTTACCCAGAGGTGTTACTGATCGTTGACTACGAAACTTATGCTGCGCACAACTTTCAAGCGAAGGCTGTCAAGCGCTATTTGATGAGCTTCATGAACGCCGTGGACCTGCGTTATAAATCGGTAAGGTATCCTTCCATCACTCTCAAGGTGGCTGGCATTGTCATCAGCAAGACCAAGAGCGCTACGCCCTACTTGGAGAAGCACATGATCGGCGGGAAGGCGCTGAGTGCGATCGCTGCCCTCGAGTCGATCGGCCAGTACCTGTACACGGAGAAGCGGCTGCCGAGCTACGACCTGGCCATGGTGTTGACCAAGCGCGACATGTGCACGCCCAGCGGCCCGTGGGGACTCTGCAACAAGATCACCGCCGGGTACGCCTACGTGGGAGGCGGGTGCAGCATCAGCAGGTACTTCCACAAGATCAACTCGGTGGCTCTGGTGGAGGACTCGACTGGTTTCTCCGGCATCATCGTGGCCGCGCACGAGATCGGACATCTGCTGGGAGCCGTGCACGATGGCTCGCCGCCGGCAGCGTACCTGGGCGGGCCAGGGGCCAGCTCCTGTCCCTGGAGGGACGGCTATATCATGTCGGACCTGCGGCGGGACCAAAGGGGTCTCCAGTGGTCCGTCTGCAGCCTCAATCAGTTCGCTCACTTCGCCAGTGATGAACGGTCTCGATGCATGCACAACTATCCGTCAAAGTCAGGACATTTGAAGTCAGGCACTGCACTGCCTGGGAAGCTCCTAAGCGTGGACGCGCAGTGCAAGCGGGACCGCGGCTCGAGCGCCTGTTTCAAGGACCAGCGCGTGTGCGCCGAGCTGTACTGCTTCGAGCCGTCCAGCGGCTACTGCGTGTCGTACCGGCCGGCGGCAGAGGGCTCCGCCTGCGGCCGCGGTCTGCACTGTATCAACGGCCAGTGCGTGGCCGACAGCTTCTACTACTAGCTGTCGCTGCTGCTGCTGCTGCGGTTGTTACGTGCAGGCTGGCCCGCGGGCGGGTGCAGCCATCTCTCAGGTACCTGACACACCTTTCCATTAACCATGAGATTAGTACCACGGTTGTTTTCTGTGATTCGTGTCATGTAGTTGCTCTTACATGCTCATTCCAACACTGCCATCATCGAGATAGACATTCTGATGTGCCATCTGATAGGGCTAGGTTTGCTGAGAAATGATTTGTTTTTGTGTATACATGTACATGATCTCCCATGCATTTTGCATCGGTTTGTAGGAGTTCCTTCAAACATGGTAGGTACATTTCAGCTTAGTAGTGTGAGCACGAATTTCGTCATTATCGAGTTGCATGCTACTAAATTGCGAAGTGTTGTGGAGCTGCTTATGCAATACTTGGTGCCAGATGCAACTGGTTTTGTGTATTCGTTTCAATTCAACGTCACTGTCTATAGAGTCTTTCAAATAGAATGTTTCGCACTCATCACAACAATGCCAGGACGACTAATGTGCTATGAATAAATGTGGCTAGAATGAAGAGCTTGTATGTTTTCAGCATTGGTTCAAACGACAACCATCCAAGAGTAGGCATAGGTATAAACGGTTTAGCATTGACCGTACTCGAAGCAAACAGAGAAATTATCTTTTAAAAAAAGTGATTTTGTTCGTCTAAGATGATTCAACGCATCTCGTTAACTTTTGACACTCTCCATTTACACTGGATTCTTTTTTAGCACGCAACACAATGATTCGCTGGGTTATCGCTCTTATAATTTAATGTATCGTTCCAGCGATTCGTTTCTTCTAGTTTGACGAACAAATTAGGACGTTATAGTTTAACAAAGGGCGCTTCGTTTCCCAAAATTTCGCCTGATAAGTATGCGATTAATATTCTGCAACCGTCATGTCTGGCACTTTTCTGCATAACATACTAGATACCAGGCGTGATAGCATCATCTCGCCTAGCCGGGTCCCTCCGATATCATCTACCATCGTGTCGGAACTGGCGGAAAGGAGCGTTCGGCTGATGGACATCGCGGCGCCGGCTCGGCAAATGTTCGCCGGGTCGAGCCCGTCTGGGCACTTCACGGAATACCTATGTCAGGACCTGCGCGAAACCCACCCCGCAGTGTCTCCGTATTCACCCCCGGCCGGGTGCTGGTCTGGAAGGAGGCCTTTCGGAACGATAGCCGATCTGCGGTGATCGGAGACGAGCTGGGTGCTGCTGTGTCGGACCTGCGGGCCACGGGCGCTGCCTATACCAGGAGCCAGTGGGGACTGTAGCTACATACGTAAACACAACACCAGTCATGGTCATGGAAACCCAGCTGCGAACCCTGGTGGTCATAACTTGCAGCATAGTAACGTGAGCCTGCCACTAGGTGGCGAACAGTCTCCGGCTGCCGGCCGACCCTCTGAGGATGGCACCACGCGTCGAGGAGAGGGGCGGGCCCGCTGAGAGTCGGCCCGGCTCAGACGGCAACTGTAATCCGGCGCGCTAAGCACCGTCCACATCCAATCCAATCAGAACACCCGTGACCGGAAAGCTGGTGGAATCCAACCCTTTTTAAGTGGAACTGGGATTGACGCGCGCCCCACGCCCGCTGAGAAGGAAGTTGCTGAGAGATTTGCCTTAAATGGCACGGCAAGACATGTGCATATTACCCTTACCTTAGGAGGTCAACGGGATGCAGCATTATTACTCACGAACGCTGCTGTAAAGTAAAACTGTGTTCCTACATGCAAACCCACGACCCACGTGATATCAAAGTTAATAGGCATGTATTATATATGGTAGACCGGGGCAAGTCGCCCCGCCGAGGTAAAACGCCTCACCGATGTTTCTCGGAACTGGCAGAGTTCTGGGGAAACATCCTCTCTTCTATAAAACGTGCACTATATGATCATTATATGAGCAGACTGGAAAGAAATTGTGATGACTCTTTCGGGAGATGTGGCCAAAAATGTGTTTTTTTGAGTGATTTTTATGTTTTGTTGTCAGATTATGCATCATGGCGTTCTTTTATGGTCCACATCAGGTTAACGACTTTTATGTATTTTGAACAACTATTGTCTAACGCTTATCATGCCGGGTTGGTTCGTGTTAAATTATGTCTTGCTGGAGTGCAAGGCGTTGTTCTCTGACCGAACTACGTGATGGGGTAAAACGCCCCAGTAGGTCGCGGGGCAAAAAGCCCCATGGGGCGTTTTACCTCATGTGTTGTTCGGGCTACCCACTTTCTAATGTTCGGTAGCTGGCGAACAGTAAGTTTCTATGCCTTTATGTGTATTTTTCTCAGCAACTGGATGGCAAAGGAAGTATTTTGTAAACATTTGCATTGCAATAATTTATTATTTCGTCTTATGAGGCAAGTGAAAAACCTGCTCATACAATAGTGTCATAGCTGAACAGTGAACACCTGACAAGATGGAATGTGCTTACTTTAGTGCCGTGCCTCCAGAGGTCTAACGGACCTCTCACATAAGATTTAGCCAACTACCATGTTAAATCTTTAATCTAAAGTATGGGGCTACTTGCCCCAGGCCGTGGGGCGTTTTGCCCTGGGGTTGGGGCAAAATGCCCCATTTGCAGTTGCTTCACAAATCACTTCCTAGCTTGGAGTCCGATCATAAGTGAATGAATTTGAGGGGTGCAATTTAAAGTAAAATGTCCAAAGAACGCATTGAGCACAAATTTGGCCTTCCAGGTGTTATGGGACGAAAGTTACGTAGCAAAATAAATTATCTGGGGCGTCTTGCCCCAGGCTACCCTACTCGTAGTTTCTTATCTATGAATGTCATCAGTCATTGGCAAGTGTAACCTATTTTACAATCTCTAGTCCTTCCAATGTTACGAATCACGATCATGCGGAAACGGCTCAAGCTCGGCAGCAGGAAGTCATGCCAGGAAGCCTAAGCCGCCACGTCCTATACATAGGCATGGCCTGGGGCCGATACTGCTGGGTGCGAAGATACCTACATAGGTGCATATTTGTATGTATATCTTAACCCGCGCCCGGCTGGGGGTCCTGGATTTCCACGCCCTGCTGGGGGGGGGGGGTGTTTGAACACCCCCCCCCCCTTCTAACTCGGCTCCTGGGCCACGTAGCGATACGCGGAAGGCGGCGTTCGAAAGAGCGTCAAAAATAATGAGGAAATCACTTCGGTCAATTTTTTGGTCAGGTCAAAGGTCAGGTCACTAGAGGTCATTGAAGGCAAAATTTCGCCGATTTCCAGGTCGAATGTCGACAATTTCCAAGAAGCCAACGCATAACTCGAGAACCAATAGAGCTACAGCGCTGCGGAAAAGCGCATTCGATAGCCCTATTAACGCCCTTTCTGAGTAATTCTCTCAGATTTGACCTAACGTCAACGGTTTTGCCTGCAGGGGGCAAAAACTGCAAAAATAGCCGATTTTTTCGGAAACAGTTTTTCTGCAATAACTTTTGACCCAAGCCTTGTACGAGCTTACTTTTACCGGCATCGTGTTCCTCTCGTCAAGACGCATCGAATGAACTATAACTTGACCTTGAAAGGTCAACTTGAAAATTTGACCTCAGGTCAAGGTCATGACCTGACCGGAAAGGGTCATGTTGCATATCAGTCGATCCGTATCGTCGAGCTGAACACATCTAAGGCGTTTTCATCGCTCTAGCATGCCTCTATCAAAAGTTATTTGCGAAAAACTGTTAGATACCATTCGTGACCTGAGATGACCTCAGGGCATAAACAGGGGTCACGGACACCATTTTCATGTTCAGTGTGTCTAAACCACTTGTAATTCAGTGTTTGGGAGTGTTTATAATGTCTTTCGTCCAAAAGAGGCGCATTTCAATTTTCTCCCATTGACTTATAATGGGGAGGTCGCAAAATTGACCTGACCTTAGGTCATCGATATCAAAATTCTGAGATATACATTTTGTACATGCTATTGCTCTTAGCAATCGCTGAAAGTTTCAAAGTGATCGGTCACTCGGTGTAGCTATGACAGACATTGAAACTTTTTATGAGGTGAGGTCACTTCAAGTGACCTGGTGACCTGACCTTGAATGACCTTGGTCCGAAATTTTCACAACATGTGTAGAATTGATGTATGATAAGGTGTACCAAAAACGGCGGCGCTCCGCGCCGCCGTTTTTGAGATATTCGCGAAAAACCACAAGGGGGTGTTCAAACACCCCCCCCCCCAGCAGGGCGCGGGTTAATGTATGTATATGTATATGTATGTATATTGTATTAGCGAAGCATTCCAATGATGGATTAGTGTCAGCTTCTAGTCAATGACAATAGTAAAAACATATAAAACACAAGCACACACACGCATACACATTGTACTAAAATACCAAAACGCTAGTCACATATATGTCGAGTTTAAAAGTCGTAAAAACTCCGCTCTAGTTCGAGAGCCGGTGGTGGCAGGCGGCAGGCGATTCCAGGACGAGGCCGCTCGGTACGACAAGGCCCGGCGCGACATAGACAGCCGGTAAGCCGGCAGCTCCAGTACACCGGCACACGTTGCCCGCGTTGAGCGCTGCGACACAGCGGCTCGCCGAGTGAATAGGGAGCGGATCGCCTCCGGAGCGCAAGGGTCACTCAGCGCCCTGAACACAGTGGAGCAGTCACGGTGGACGACAAGATCAGCAATGTCATGCCAGCCGAGGGCTCTCAACACCGGTGAAATATGTTCAGAAACCCGCGCTCCGGAGACGACCCTAGCACCAAAATTCAGGATCTTCTGCACCTTATGTAAATGACAGCGAGCGGCCCCGCCCCAGACGGAGAGGCAGTAAAGGATGTGGGGGAAAACATGGCACTGGATAAGGAGCTAACGGGTCTCGGGGGTAAGATGATGACGAATTTTATACAAACATAGAAGGATGGAATTGCACTTTCTGACAACATTTGAAATGTGCTTTTCCCAGGATAGGGTTGAGTCGACCGTCACTCCCAGCATCCTCACAAAAGGGGATGGTTGTAGTGTGTGACCGGATATGGTAAGGGAAAAGGATGAGGTTTTCTTGAGGTTCTGGCCAGTACCCACAAGAAGCAGGGTGGTCTTACTAGGATTCATTTTCAAGGAATTGGATGTGTAATAGGACTGGACAGCGAGCAAGGTGTCTTCCTGTTGTTTTTTAAGGACAGGTAAGTCAGTGGGAAGAGCGGAATCGAGGAGTTGGGTATCGTCTGCATAGGAAATGAGCCGTCCATGAGGAAGGTAGGAAGGTAGGTCATTTGTGAAGATGCTGAAGAGGATTGGGCCGACCAGGGAGCCCTGCGGAACGCCATGGGACATAGGAAGGGATAGGGAGCCGCCTCTCACCACCTGCCGCCGGCCACCGAGGTAACTCGCGAACCACCCGGGGTCAACACCGTACCAGCTCAACTTGGACAATAAAATACCATGGTCAACACTATCAAAGGCGCGACTGAGGTCCACCGACGTGATGGCAACAATGTGACCCTTGTCGACGCGGCGCGTCACCCACTCGACAGCGTCGGTGAGAGCATCCTCCGTTGAGTGATATCGGCGGTACGCATACTGAGATGGTGATAAAATAGAGGACGTATCAAGATAAGAAGCGAGCTGATTGCAAACCACCTTTTCACATACTTTCGATAACACTGGTAAAATTGATATAGGTAGGTCTAAAATTAACAGCGCTGTCACGGGAACCAGACTTATGAAGCGGCACGACAGAAGCAAGCTTCCAAGATGAGGGAAACGTACGTAAAGAAAATGAGGCATTGACTAGATGGAGAATGTGGGGTCCAATCACAGGAAAACACCGGCGAATAGCAAACAGTGGTACACCGTCATGTCCCACCGCACGGGAGGACGACAACTGCCGCAGGGCCACAGACAACTCCGGGAGTGTCGCCGGCCGCAGACACATGCTGGCCGTGGTGACACAGGGCGGCCTCGGCGGGAGTGGCGGGGGGTTGCCGGTTGCCAGTTCAGCGGCAATACGCGGACCGACTGTCGCGAAGTGCCGGTTGAACTCATCCGCCCGGGCCGGCGACAGGCCCTCGCGGGAGTTACCACCCCCGCCCCTCCCCGGACGCAAGGCGAACTCGCGCTTAAGGCACCATATCGGCTGCAGCCTGTAGTAGTACCTACTGTAGTGGTACTTAAATTGATCCATGCAATGGGGCAATATGGGACTCGGGAACCAAAGCAGGGAATAATGGTTATGATAACATGGCTCGTATGCAAACTGGGTGTGTGATTATAATAATATTGACTGTTGACAGCATTTTTCATCTTTGATTTCCTCCAGAGGGATTACCTGTTATTATCATTGCCACCATGACAACGGGTAATAGTGATTTAGTGTGTTTTAATCCTTTTCAATTTTCTTCTCAGTGCAGTGGCGAGATGTTTAGCAGCATTTATTAGCGAGTTGTTTCGGGCCAAGTATTAAAATAAACACTGTATGGGGTAGGGGCTACAAGAAAGAAAATATTGCTCTTTGTGACGCCACTGTAGCCCTCGGGTGAAAACCTCAACGAGTATAATCGCCCGAGGCGTAGCCGCGAGGGCCATAAATTATGCTTGGGTCTTCAATGAAAACTGAAGATGTTCGACGCGTTTGAAGTTTTTTTTTAGTTTTGAAGCAAAAATGGCGTGACATAACGTCACTAAAACGTCATTTTCATCCGACGGATTTCGCTCAAATTTTCAGGGAACACGCCAAGTTGATGTAGGAAAGGGTACCTACTGAACGTTTTATTTAGAACGTTTTATTTAGTCTAGCTCAGCCTTAGATGTAGTTATCTGTGCATATCTGTACATATCTGTATCTGCGGTTATGTGTATATCTGTGCATATCTGTAGTTATCTGTGCATATCTGTATACCTATTTGAGGTGCATATTATATTTGTACCGGTACTTTGTAATATATTTTTTATATAAAAAACAAAAATTATTTAGCTGGCTTGACGTGTTATTTATCCATCCAGTCTAAGAATACATATCACGCAATTGAATCTCAACCCTCGCCCTGGCAGAGCATTTTTCATAACACGGCCTGGCAGGGGGGGGGGGGTCGATGCGACCCCCCCCCTCGCGATTGGCTTCTATGGCATCTAGAAACACCAAATTTGGTAGGTAGGTGGGCCCCCTGGAATTCTCGCCCCTGTGAAAATTTGGTTGCTATAGGTCAATATTTAGGGGGGGTTTGGGGGGTATAAATGTAAAAATTTCGCTAAAAACAGGTCAAAGGTTTTTCGCTTATAGCTTTTGATCTAATTAAGAAAGAGCAAAAAGAAAAGCACCAGTGAACTCAGCACGTCAAGGCGCGTCGAATGATATGCTTTTTAGCTTGCTTAATTGTACTTAAAGTTTTTTTTTAATTTTTAAGTAAACTTTAATTAATTAATTAAGTTCAAGTTGACCAAATTGCATCATATCGCATATCATTCGATTTGGCTGATCACCAGGAACGCAATGACACCATTTTTTAAGCTCTAGCGTCATTATGTGCCAAGTTATTGGCAAAAACGTCATTTGACCTCAGTTGACCTTACTTGACCTGACCCATGGATAAGTACACCAAACAAAGAAGCACCAAGTGACCTGCTGTTAAGTACTGTGGGTTCAAAGCACAAAAGTGATAGAACGAAGCGTATATCCCCAGTATTTTCCGAATTTAGTATTTTCCCATAGGCTTAACATTACGACGTAATGACCTCTAACTGACCTCAGGTCAGTGACATCAAAAAACCCGAACTATATGTTATACAACTCGGTGAACTTAGCACATCCTGAAAGTTTGAAGGAAATCAGTCCAAAACTGTGAGTTGGACAGGTGCAAAAAAAAAATTGCAATTTGACCATGACCTTGTACCGGTTTTCTGACCTGGTGACCTGACCCAAGGTCACCCGGACCTGAAATTTTCAGGTCATATGTAAAAAGATTGCCGCATAGGCTGTGCCCAATTTGGCGGGCGGCGCCGTTTTTACGATATCTTCGAAAAACCTTGGGGAGGGGGGGGGGGGTCGCATCGACCCCCCTGCCAGGGCGAGGGTTAAGTTCATTACGAGCGAGCGAGCGCAGCGAGCGAAGCGAAGTCTTTTCAATATAACGGAAAAATCTCAGTATGAGCGGCCCGGCCCGGCCCGGCCCGGCCTGTAACGCTTTTGAGAGGATTATATCTCAGCAACCGCTGGACCGATTGGCCTGCGGTCTTTTTTGCTGGGTAGCCCCATCCCTTCTACCCCGTAATTGACTACTTTTGATACATCTCAGTGACCGTCGTGGCACGTGCCACGTGAAAAGTCAAGGGTGTTCAAGCAGTTTTGCAAAAGTAATGATTTTGAGAGGCCCATATCTCAGCAGCCATTTGAGCGATTGTCTTGCGGTAATTTTTATAGGGTAGCTGCATCCCTTCTACCAAAGGTCGGATACTCTTGATCTATGTGAGTGACCCCCACTGCACGTGCAAAATACAAAAAGAAGAGGTGCCAAATTTGTTCCCATTTCAGTAACTCGGTAATTACTGGGGCGATTTCGCTGAAACTTGGCATACAGGTAGGCACCCACCAGGCAATGCATTCCCATGTGTTGCGGTTAGGGTGCTACTGCACGTGCGCACGTGCAGGGGGCGTTTCCAGATCTCGAGAACGGCTGGGCCGATTGCGCTCAAATTTGGTACACGGTTGGGGACCGGTTAGTAGGGTGCCGTGCAAAAGTCATTTTGGACCCCGTTTGCACGTGCGCACGTGCAGAATGCCGCTTCCAGATCTCAGGAACGGCTGGGCCGATTGCGTTCAAATTTGGCACACCGCTAGCGACCGGTTAGAAGGGTGCTTTGCACAAGCCCGCTGGAAGTACCCTCTCGCCCTTCCGCACGTGCAGGGCTCACTATCTCGCTCGCTCGTTCTTCGCCCAAAAGGCGTTTTACTGGTTAGTAATAATACAGGTACTATGAGCCATAGTGCGTAGTCCATAGACATTGTTCGCATAAGAACCGTAGGCAGATACAGGTGCCAAAATAGCTATCATTCAGTGACACTAGCAAAATGCTGGTTAAATTCGGAGGCGTCGCACTCATGAGCTAAAGACTCGCTTAGAAATTACACCATTTGTACCTTTATTCATCCAATCCTTGCATATATTATATTACATATCAATATAAATGTCATGTTATCAACACACAAGATAAAAGAAAGAGTATCATCAAGTGAATACAGACCAGCTGTGCCCAGAACGTAATAAGCATGGATGAAGCGTCGTCGATGAGATGCAACAAGTGATCGCAGGATGAGCGAGGTGTGACTGTGAGCGCCATCGGTGCCGACCAGCGAGTGTACCGACGTCCGACCGACCGACCGGTGGGGCGACATGGAACCAGTGTGTAACGCCAGCGGCGACCGCACCGCACCAACAAGCAATGTACCAGGTACCTGAGAGATGGCTGCACCCGCCCGCGGGCCAGCCTGCACGTAACAAGCAGCAGCGGCAGCGGCAGCTAGTAGTAGAAGCTGTCGGCCACGCACTGGCCGTTGATACAGTGCAGGCCGCGGCCGCAGGCGGAGCCCTCTGCCGCCGGCCGGTACGACACGCAGTAGCCGCTGGACGGCTCGAAGCAGTACAGCTCGGCGCACACGCGCTGGTCCTTGAAGCAGGCGCTCGAGCCGCGGTCCCGCTTGCACTGCGCGTCCACGGTCATCAGCTTGCCGGGCAGAGGCCTGTCTGCCGGTAAATCCGCTCGCTCTGACGGATAGTTGTGCATGCAGCGTGATCGCTCATCACTGGCGAAGTGGGTAAACTGGTTAAGACTGCAGACGGACCACTGGAGACCCCTTTGGTCCCGCCGCAGGTCCGACATGATGTAGCCGTCTTTCCAGGGACAGGAGCTGGCTCCTGGCCCGCCCAGGTACGCTGCCGGCGGCGAGCCATCGTGCACGGCTCCAAGCAGATGTCCAAGCTCGTGTGCGGCGACGATGATGCCGGAGAAGCCACTAGAGTCCTCGACCAGAGCCACAGAGTTGATCTTGCGGAAGTACCTGCTGACGCTGCATCCTCCTCCAACGTACGCGTACCCAGCGGTTATTTTGTTACAGGAACCCCATGCGCCGTTACGGGTGCACATGTCGCGCTTCGTTATCACCATGGCAACGTCGTAACTGGGCAGCCGCTTCTCTTTGTAGAGATAGCGACCAATGGATGCCAGGGCATCGATGGCGTTCAGAGCCTTCCCGCCTATCATGTTTTTCTCTAGGTAAGGAGTTGCCTCCTTACTTTTGCTGATAACAATGCCAGCCACCTTAACAGTGATGGAAGGCTGGTTTACTGATTTATAGCGAAGGTCAACTGCGTTCATGAAGCTCATTAAATAACGTTTGACGGCTTTTGCTTCAAAGTTGTGGGCTGTGTAGGTCTCGTAATCAACAATGATCAGGATTTCGGGGTACAGGTCATTTGTGTCACGCTTTAACCGGTGAGACTTCCTGGAGCCAGGAGAGGTGTCACTGGCTGCCGGCTCTTTCTCCACCAGCAGCGAGTCTTCGTGGTCGATGGGAGCTGAGCCGGTGGACGACGACGGCGAGGCGGCGCGCTTGTAGATGACGTGCAGTCCTCGTGTGACCGGCGGTGTCGAGCGGCGCTGGCGCAGCCGGGCCGTGCTGTCGTGGCTCTCAGACCCGTCCAGCGGCTCCTGGTCGTCAGCCAGCAGCGCGTCGTCGTCATGGGACGACGGGTAGTGGTGGTGCACGCGCCTCGGTGCCGGCGCGATCACCAGATCGGACACCACGCCGTTCAGCTGCAGCGTGTCGTCGTCGGCGTGGTTGACCAGCAGCGCCGCCTCGCGACTCACGTCCTGGTACGGCTCGCCCACGTACATGTCCGTGTCGCCCTCGACGCGCTCAATGTTGATGTTGCTGTCGGCGCCGTCGGCGTAGAAGAGCCGGATGCGGTTATCGATCTCGCGGTTCATCTCCAGGTCCAGGTCGATCTGGTCACCGAACGCTTGCACGTGAACGCTGCGCCGGCGCCGGCCGTTGAGGCTGCGCTTTCGTCTGGAGCTCACGTGGAAGAGGTCGTACTCTGGCACGTCCTCGTGGCGCTCGACGGCGAACACGTGGCGCAGCTCGTCCACGGAGAGGTGGAGATGCAGCGTGTGCCGCGGAGCTGTGTGTGAGGCGGCCGTGGCCAGCTCGTCCGCAGAGGACGCCTGGAGGGCCGCAAAACAGCTCAGCAGCGCCAGGGTTGAGAGTAGAGTGTGCGCCATTTCGGTGAAAATCTGCGGCACACTCGGGTGAAAGTGTCCGCGGCCGGCAGGGTGTGCTGGTCCGGCGGCGGCTGCGGGCGACTCCGGAGCGCGCCCACCTGATGCGGTATAAGTACCGGCCCTGGTGTGTGCCGCCGTCCAATGGCCGGCTGCTGCACCGTGACGTCATCTGCAGCTTCTTTCGGTGCTACCAACTCACTGGGAGTACGGCGCGTGCGTGCTCTCATGACCATGTTCCCGAGCTTACTCTCATTGATATGTTTATTCATGCCTCTATTCTTCAAAGGAACGGAACGTGAAATGGAGCCGAGTTAATATTCTCATACAGTTCATATGCAGTGCAAAAAGTTGGTACTTTTTAGGACATGTAAAATGAAAATGGCATCAGTTATTGAGCAGTCAAAAGCATTGTGTGTGAAGTTTAGCATAAGAGGAATTTTATTCCTGTATGGTCTGGAATAAGAAACCGAAAAGGTGACCTTCGGCATGCACCTTGCTGTTGTTACCTAATTAGGTACCTATATTCAGCAAGGTCAAGGTACACAAATTAACGTGATTAAATTGTCGGGAAACTCAGGATTTGATTTTCAATAGAAAACACAATTCTAACGACCAATGTTTAAACTAATATTGAGCTAAAACCCTCGGTTACTTATAAGCTCACTTTCGACTTATTTACGTCAGACTAATTACTAACAGCCGTGACAGCGCGAGCTCTCATTCGGCGAAAGCCGCCAGCGTCACGTGAGTGTACCTATCCCTCTCACAGAGCCGTCCACATGTAATCTCAGTCCTGGACATCAGCCGGCTGATACGAAGATCCCGGGGAAATGGAGCGGCGGCTACCAGAAAAGTAATCTTAAACGGTGGTAAGTACTTACATACCTGGCCAGTGGCCATATATGGAAGGAAGGTTTCCATGGCTGATTCGTGTGTGGTAACACGCCCAGTGCACATCAGGTTTTCGTACCTACGAAGCTTGTTCTTCACTGAACAATAGGCATTCAATCGCTTTGCATGTGTCATCTTACAGACAATAGCCTTTTTCACGACGGCCATCTGGTACACATTTGATGCAAATTAGGTGCAGATTTGGTGCAGATTTGGTCAAATTAGGTTCATTTTGTTTCCTGAAAGTTGTGAGTTTGGGTTGGACAGATGCTTATAGGAGGGGGTATCGAAAAGTTCTGATCATCACCGTGAACTAGATATGACGGAAATTTGATTTTTACATTACGTTCATTAGTATTTCTCCTCCACAAGCCACCAAACACGATAACAAATTTATTCCATCGTTTCTTGACCTGCCCCAGGCCGCCATAGTATATAGAACCCTTCCCACTGCCCGGTAAATCACTGTTCCACCTCATCAATGACGTCATTTCTGTCTCTCATTCACCTGCCATGCTGTGGATTCTTCATCTCCCGGAACAATTCAGCGTCACTTAATACCAGGTCAGATGACTTTGTTAGATGCAGTAAGATTAAATGCCCACAACATGCTGTTCCTTCAATCGCAGCTCAGACCGTGTCGGCGAGGAGAACATCTTTATTTGCCTTTTTGCAGCGATTTTACTCGAAAGCATCTCGCAGACTCTTCAAAAGTGTGCTTATTATCATCCGACCCTCATCAATACAGTCGGCAATGACTATCTTACGCCAGACCCAGAACACTGACTACATTCCGACCCTCATCAATACAGTCGGCAATGACTATCTTACGCCAGACCCAGAACACTGACTACATTCCGACCCTCATCAATGCAGTCGGCAATGACTATCTTACGCCGGACCCAGAACACTGACTACATTCCGACCCTCATCAATACAGTCGGCAATGACTATCTTACGCCAGACCCAGAACACTGACTACATTCCGACCCTCATGAATACAGTCGGCAATGACTATCTTACGCCGGACCCAGAACACTTATTACGTTCCGACCCTCATCAATACAGTCGGCAATGACTATCTTACGCCGGACCCAGAACACTTACTACATTCCGACCCTCATCAATACAGTCGGCAATGGCTATCTTACGCCAGAACACTTACTGCATTCCGACCCTCATCAATACAGTAGGCAATGACTATCTTACGCCGGACCCAGAACACTTACTACATTCCGACCCTCATCAATACAGTCGGCAATGACTATGTTACGCCGGACCCAGAACACTTACTACATTCCGACCCTTATTAATACAGTCGTCAGTCGGCAATGACTATCTTACGCCGGACCCAGAACACTTACTTATACATTCCGACCCTCATCAATACAGTCGGCAATGACTATCTTACGCCAGACCCAGAACACTGACTACATTCCGACCCTCATCAATGCAGTAGGCAATGACTATCTTACGCCGGACCCAGAACACTGACTACATTCCGACCCTCATCAATACAGTCGGCAATGACTATCTTACGCCGGACCCAGAACACTTACTACATTCCGACCCTTATTAAAGGGACCCTCCCACCTTAACATTAGATTTGAGTTGAGATAGCCAAAATGGGGTCCCTGGCTCACAATTACCGGTTTCGGCACTCACAACATCGAGAAATGCCTTAAATCGGAAATATTGAATTTCAAAATTGCAGCATTTTGATTCAGAGGGGCTAATGCATAGGAATACCCCTCTGAATGTGTGACGTCAGCGCAGATATCTAACGATTTTTAAATGTTTGACTAAAACGTTTTGTAGCACGCGGTGGTATATGCTGCTTTGCGCGCAACAAGTGCCGCACTTTCAGCTGCCAAACTATTGCTTCCAAATAAAGTCGCTAGGAACAGCGGAGATCCCAAAAAGTAAACAAAAGTAAAAGTCTAATATCTTGAAAACCGGTGAATATTTTTCGGTGAAATTGGGTAGATATTCGTTTTCGCTCTTTCTGAACCAAGCGACATCACTTTCATGCCAATTCATAAACTTTTTTGAAGGTGGGAGGGTCCCTTTAATACAGTAGGCAATGACTATCTTACGCCAGACCCAGAACACTTACTACATTCCGACCCTCATCAATACAGTCGGCAATGACTATCTTACGCCGGACCCAGAACACATACTACATTCCGACCCTTATTAATATAGTCGGCAATGACTATCTTACGCCAGACCCAGAACACTGCCAAAATTGACCTTCTATATGGGCTTCCGTATCTTCACCTTTAAGAAGGGCAAATGTGCTGTACGTCAACTTCTTGATTATCTCTTTTGCCTTTGCATCATGCACGTACGCCCAGCAATCGTGAAAACTCACCAAACGATCGAAAATCTCTTCAATTTCCCAAAAAGGCCTAGTTTTCGCTTTTAAAGGCCAAGCCGCACTTTGCTCTTGAACAAAGTTAACACACGAGCTTCTAAGCGGGCTGACCCCTTATCGTTTGTAGTTGTAGTTCTTTGCTGGTAATATTTTCAAGCACTGCCAGCATTAAGACCATTCTAATGTATTATCATTTGAAAGGTTACACGACGATCTGCAAGGATGAGATCCCCCACTTTCTTCACAGTCACCACCTTGTCAGCCATTGGAAGTCACACAGTTCTTGACTCTCCTGCAAGAGCCATGCAACCAGTTTGAAAATTATTTTTCTACTTACGGTAAGTGTGGACGTTCTTCGTCATAAACTATTTTCACTTTCTAAAAGCATTTCCTCAGTGTGATACCCTTTTTAATACAATTGTTCGTTGACGGCTCGATCCTCAGTGGGCCCATTGCTCATCTTTTTATTTCAAAGTCTTTCCCACATGAGATAAAACTACGTTTTAGGATTTTCTTCTGCATGACCATTGTTCTTAAGGATCAAATATAATATCGGCAAAAAATGATTAAAATCTTTCTATAACGTCTGTGCGATGATCAGAGCTTTTTGATGTCCCCTTGTAGACCTCATTTATCAAATTATAAGACATTATTTTTGTTTATTAAAACACTGAAATAAATTTACGATATGAAAATATTTATTGTAAAAGAGATTTGGTGCAGATTTGGTCAATTTAGGTGCATTCGCCAGATAGCCCGTCGTGAAAACGGCTAATATACCTATATTACTTTTGCATGGACAAGGACATATAAGTAGAAGTAAACGTATAGATACAAACAGGAACACTAAGCATGTCGTTCATGCTTAAATTCTCAGTATTCGAGCCTATATCGCACATTTCTATTCTTTTTACTGGCTGCGGACCCGAGTGCAACGCGCTAAGCAGAGCTCGCTTCAAAATGACACCATAAATCCGCTGCCTGTTATCAACATGTAAACCGGTAGACGGTGTAAAGGACAAATATGTGCACACTACTTCCCTTAATTATCAGACAAAAAGCTCTCGACGTCGTTTTATTGATATGAAACGTTATACACCTACGTGTAATGTTTATCACATGCTTGTATTGTCGTTAAGTATTATGGCTCCTGGCAATTGAACACTGAACAGTTTGTTTTTAGCAGCTTCTCCATGGTCAAGAAAATATTGGGAATGATCAAATCCTTGCAGCAATGCGTATAAATTTTCAACTGTAGAAATATGGTCTTCAATCTTCATGTTATGATTGATGCATGAAATTTACTATTCTCTCACACATATTCATATGTGAAATATACGTGATGAAACAACTAGTTTCCATTGATTGCTATCAATGCATTTGCTATGGAACGGCACGCCTTCGAACGGTTCTATGGAACGTTTCTACACTTTCAACTCTGGACTTGTATGTGACACTACCTATTTTGGGATTTTTTCCACAGCCATTACTTATTGCACGCTGTCACGCAAATCCTAACAACCGGCTCTCGCATACTAATTGCTCAATGCATGAATTCCGAATACCAGTCTGGCTGAAAACGCATTTCCCCAATGTTGCCATTAGTGCAATCTGTTGGGCGGCTCGAGTTTTCAATTCCACACTACTTGTTGCCGAAGTTTTGAGGTGACCGCGGCTCGTGGGGTCGGCGTACGACACATCTGGGTACCGCGTACCTATGCCTGCATGGACCATGGGACCGTCGCTGAGGCACGCGCATCGGTTGCACGTGAGTAACTGGTTAGCTGATAACCAGTAGCCACTCCCCGGCACCGGTCAGGCTGCGGTGACCGCCGGTGGGCGGGCAGGGAGGGAGGGGTCACAGAGAGACAGACAGACAGACAGACCTCCGCCCCCGGCCCCATGGCACCCGGACCCTAATCCACCGTCTCAGACGGCCGGGCCGGCCAAACGGCCGACACGTGAGGTTTAGGCGGCAGCAGGCAGATTTTTGGTGCATAGCTGCATCTCATGTCGGCTCAGAGGCAGTGCGCCCAGGTTCTAATGACCCGAAAAGGAGATGGACTGCGGCGCTAGCGACTCAGGTCTCATGCACACCGGTTTACCTCACGAAGCGCAGTTGGTGATGAAGGCTTGAGAGGGTGATTTTTCACCATTTCTTTCGTCGCTGATGATGAAATTTTTGGGAACTTTTTATGTAGTCAAATTGTGTAA